AAGATACTCTAAAGCTGTGACAGCAAACCTCTTAGAGCTTTCAACGATACAAACAGTCCACTGCAGCATATGCCAGAAGTTCGCCACCACTGCCCTGAAGTCTCTGGCAGGCTCCATGAGAAATCACAGCAGAGATACTTGTCTCTATGTTGTATGTGCCATACTGGCTTATAATTAACAAATAAAAGATATTTCTGTTTTTAAGATGGGAGTCTCACAATGCTGCGCAAGCTGTCTTCAACTCCTGGGCTCCCAGTATCCTCCTGCCTCAGCCTCCCAAGTGTGGGGACTACAGCCATGTGTCACCATACCTAGTTAAGTAAATATTTCTGCTGCTTTACCAGTCTCCTGGTTTCATAATAGAGCTGCTTATATAGTTCCAAACTCATCCGGATGCCATACAAGACTACTCTAATTGCCTTTAGCATTATTAAGTCAGTCCAATTGTTTTAAAAATCTGGTAAGCTGATGTATTAAGCTGACATGATGGAGCCCTTCAGCTTTCACTGTGGTCATCACTATCTCCTGCATCCACACAGCCATCAGTAGCAAGCTGATGAGGACTTCTGTGGTGCGACCACTAGGGTGGGACCCTAGAAGCTTTCAAATATCTTCATTTTATACTTCTTCAAATCCATTGTTTTTTTTTAGATCAGCACAGCTAGTTTGGAATTTTTAAAAATTTCCCTGAAGAGGGGTTGGGGATTTAGCTCAGCGGCACAGCGCCTGCCTGGCAAGCGCAAGGTTGAGAGTTCGATTCCCAGTACTGGAGAAAAACCAACAACAACAAAAAAATTTCCCTGAAGGATGAAGTATTTCATAATCAAGAATCAGATCAATGAGATCTCTGTAGTCCATATAATAATATAAACACCCCACCCACCCAGCCAACTACTGGGGATTGAGCCTAGGACCTTCACACTGAGTTATATCCAGCCTTTTATTTTGAGACAGGGCCTCACTAAGTTCCCAAGCTGGTCTTCAACTTGCTATCCTCCTACCTCAGCCTCCCAAGTGCTGGGATTACAGGCATACACCACAACACCTGACTATAAGCACTTTTATTGTATCACTCCAGGTTAAAACAATGATAGCAATGGCCATTTTAATGTTAAATTTCTTCCAAAATTCCTTAACTATTTTTGGATTCTCACCTTCAGTAACAGAAATTAACATCATAAATGTTCACTTTATATGTAAGTTATAAATGATGCTTCTACAGCTTTATCAAGGAGTTGTAAGAGGCAGTTTTTGGAGGAAAAACGGACAGGCGTAAGTCCTGCTTTTGTGGAGAGCACAGCTTGATGCCCTGTGAGATCTTTTAAAGTTTGTTTTTGAGGCTTCTGTTATTGCAATAATCTCAGTAACTTGGAAGAATTAAGTAAAAACACTAATACAATATGGGCAATGATCCATACATTTTTCCAACAGAGAAGCCCATCCCAAGGCTGACTAAAAATTCCTTTCACAAAGTTCACTTAAAAGGGTTACAGTTTGGTGAGTGATAAACTATTACTGGCTTTAGCTTAAAGCCTCTATTTGCCCATGCTGCCAAGTACCATAGTTATGTTACCTGCTAGAACCTTAAACTGTGGAGCATGTTTTGTGTCTTTGAGGCAGGAATTCATAACATACTTGTGCCATCAAAACCAAGAATTTAACTCCGTGCACAGCTGTCTTCTCAATTTACTTCTTATCACTGGTGGAAAATTCTTTTGGAGCTTTTTCATTTGTACTAATGGCTATATCAAAAAGCTGAGGCTTAAGAAATTGGAGCATTGTTTGAAATAACTACAGCAAGCACTAGTGGCATTAAAAGGAACCACTTCCGCAAGATACAGTGATTTCCTTGTTCAGTTTTAGCGTATAAATAAAGTTCTGTGTGAGAAAGGCTGTACTTGATTTTTCACTCGTTAGTCTTGAGTCCCAGTGTTCAACCATCTTTCCTTTTCTTTTATTTCTTTATGCCTTGTTTTTCCTGAGTTAACAGCACTTGAATCTGGTCCAGGCATATTCTTTTATTTTTATGACATTACCTCATGATCCTCAGTGACATTTTTTTTGTATCTGTTGCTTGGGATTTATCACATGTTCTCATTTCTATGCATTTTCTCCTTTTGAGTTCTTTCTCATTACATAAAATGTTTCTGTTTTGCATGTAGCACATGGCATTTTCGAACCAGGATGCTTAGACTGGCTTGGGGTATTGAATGAGTGGTCTTCTCAAACAGAAAAGGTCACAAAGTAAGCAGGAAAACACAGATCATGTAAAACAATACATATGGTAAAATGAGGCAGTCAGGAGATGTCTGAGATGTATGTTTTCTATACTATATTCCTGTGGGCTTGGTTCGGCTGGGAGCAATTTTCTGTGTTCACCTAGCATTTTTAATGGATAAAACTGCACATACACATGCATGCAAATTTTGCCTTCTTACAAATTGTTCCCTGATATATTTATTGCACTAAGGAAAAAAATTCACATTTTAAAAACAGAACCAACTGATATATTTCTATGAAACAGTTTTTGGATTGATAGCAGGTTCTCATAGCAGCACAATGGTTGACAATAGGACATCAAGTAATTTTGAGGTGTGCTATTATGTGACCTGGGTATCTGATCCACCAAACCAAAAACTGAACATTACAGCAATAATTCATCAAATATAAACTGTTTAGTCAGACATCACACACACACA